GTGCAATGGTTCAAAGGTGTAACGTAACCAATAATCCGAGCATTCCAATACCACACATTCTATCTAATCTTATTTTTGATAATAATTAAATCAACACCGCGCATTGCATAAACACCGTGCATTCATTCCTTTAACACCATGAATTCCATGTCAGCAATACTCGAATGCCCCATGTTTACCCCTTTCAATTCCTGTTCTTTTTTTCAAAATGCTGACTCCGAATGCCTTATGTTCATTTATCCTTTTCCTTTTTCATGACATTAATACTGTGCAACATCGTGCATTCATCCGAAAGTCTAAAATATACAATAAAAAAAAGCTTAATAATGGATTAAGCTAAATATTGCTAAGTATAACTTTAATACAACATAGAATCAAATCTCGATTCGACTCGACTCGTTAATTTCAATATGCGCAATTTGGTCACGGCTTTGAAAATTAATTATGTAATAAAGAATTTACGATTTTATAATGATTACGCAATAATCGAATCGTTGCATAATCACAACGAAAAAAATCGTAGCGATCATGCCACGATTATATAATATGATCGCCGTGATTCCATTACGGTTAAAATGCTGCCGTAATTTCATTGTCACGACGTTTCTCGAATTTGAGCTGGTTCTTAAGATACTCTTTTAAGTCATGTTTAGATAATTTCTATTGTAGCAACAATGTCATCATTGCAAACTCTTTTAAAGGGATTATTCTCGTAAACGATACTACGAAATATAATTAAAAAATTATCCATCACTAGGGTAGTCAAACAACGCGTTTAGATGTTGTGCAGGCTATCAGAAACCAAACTTGAGAAATTTAGGAAATCACGTTAACGATTTCAGCATATTGATTCTATTTTATTGAATTTTTCGATCGTCCGGAAAATAAGCGGAAATCGGATTTTTTATGTGTATCACAGACAATAAATAACCTAATCCCCAGGCATCGAATGCTCAACGAATTAATGATTCTATTTCCTCATAGCTCGCAAAAATCGGCAAATGCTTCAACTTGATTTTCTTGCGGATTTTTTCATCTTCACATAGAAATGAAGAGATATTAACTTCATTTATTAAAGAAAAAAATAAAACCACGTAAATCTTAATTACCAGAATCATCGCCTTCGTCATCATCGTCGCTGATCGAATCGTTAGTGGAGTCGTTATTCTCAGAACCCGAATCGTCATCCATGAGTTCGTCTTTGTTATCTTCGACTTCATCATCATCATCTGATGAAAAGTACGCGTCTTTTAATTCATCTATATCATTCTCATCTGATGAAAAGTACGCGCCTTTTAATTCATCCATATCATTCTCATCTGATGAAAAGTACGCGTCTTTTAATTCATCTATATCATTCTCATCTGATGAAAAGTATGCGTTTTCCAATTCATCTACATCTTCCTCATCTTCAAGATCGGAATCTAATTTAATCGGCATAGTCGATTTCATTGATTCCCATATTTCATTCTCCAGCTCTTCGTCACTCTCTTGATCTGGATCGAGAAAATTATCTATACCATCGGTTGACTTTTTTTTCTTTTCTTTTTGCGTCTTCCCGCCAGAGTGTTTTTGTGTGAAATATTTGTGGAAGAATGCCTAGTCAAAAAAAAAAAAAGGATTTAACTTGGATGATAAAAAAAAAAAAATAAAAATAAATAAATAACGACGCATGTCTCAAAGCGTGTAAGAACCTGATCCACCGGAATATCATCAAAATTTTTTTTCCAAAATTCTTCCGAATTAACATTTATCTCATTCGGAGAGATTCCAGCACCTTTTCTCATTATTACCATTCCAGGTTCCGTAGCCACCGTTGGCTGAAGTAGAACATTGCCGCCTTTAACTCGATCTCTTTTTTTTGGATTACGATATACAAACCTGTCAAGAAAATGTGCTAGCGTGTGATGATGAAGTTCGGGTTGAGTTTCGATCGGTTTGTTCTCGAGTAATTGTTTTGCATACAAGGCAACCGTCGGATGAAAATGATCGGTGAAAAGGGTCTACAAAGTTCAAGAGATGAATTAAAATACTTACGTTGCTACGTGTGTATAGATAATTATTTTTCGAAGAAAAAAAAAAAAAAATACTTACCAATTCCCACAGACACGTTTGATCAGCATCACTATACTGCGGGTCCCTTTTACGACCATCGTATTTTCGTAAATTTTCATTTTCCTGTGGTGATTTATCTTTATCTTTTTCCGATTTTTTTTCCTCGTCAGAACCAGCAACGTGATGTCTTTCGTCGTCTTCTTCATCGGACACATCTACAAAGTGTTCTTGAGGATCATTGTCTTCGGGTTGAGTGATAAAATAGCTCAGGGACGGATGTTTTTGCACAAGCTAAAATTTACCCAATTAGACAAAGAAATACTAAGGGCATGAAAATTAATTGTTAATCAGGTAGACAACTACATACCACCGAAATCAAGTATAATGCACCGCATATAAACGGTGGCAACTGATGCCCACAAATTTGTATCAGTCTTTTGATAAAAGCTTCAACTCGTACGATCATAGAATCATTCTTTAGAGCTTTGAATAGGAGATTAAGATACATTGCTTGTTTGGATGACGTGTCCAGTCGCGGATCAAGTAATGATTGATAAAGAGCTCGATAAAAGCGCTCGGATAACGACTGAAAATAATGAGTCAGAGTCAGTGCCATTAGCATAGACGTGAAAATCAGAGTAACCTTGCGTATTAATCGTAAAAGTAGTCAGATGTAAAAATCATACAGCTTTTTTCAAAGATACTTGATAAATCAACATGAGCGCTTGTATGCTGATGTTAAATGTTCCGACATAAGTAATACGGTAAAGAACATTCAGATGACCTTCAAATCTATTGTAATCATTCAAAAATAGGTGTTACAGTTAATTAACTTTATTAAACTAAAATGACACCAGTAAAGTATCAATAAATAAATAAATATATATATATACTAAAATTGACGAGTTCACTTACACACTGTCATCCACACGAGCAAACTTGTAAGCTCTATTGACACCGGTTAATATGGCAGCTACCAGTTTTGAATCTACGACATCGGTCTTAACCGTATCATCTTTCTTTTTATTTTTTGATTTGGCCGAACCTTTATTCTTTTTTACCTCCTCATCCTTTAATTCCAACAATTTGGTAAAAAATACGAAATAAATATCAATTAACTTATTTGCGACTTCGACATCTCGGTCCGTCAGTATTATTTGGTTCAATGCAATGACCCCATAATATTGAGCGCGTTCGTTTGCACTAGGAAACAATATCAATTGTTCGACTTCTCGTATTACGTGAATCTTCATTAATGGGTGAACCGAGAATATCTGATTAATTAAATAAGAGGCTTTTGATGCAACTTTTCGCTCTCTATCTCCCTAATTATAAAGAAACTTAGCGAGACCAAGAATTATTGATTAAAATTTCGAGGATGGAATCTATACCAGCTTGTTAATCAGCAGTTTTAGTAAATTTTGTTCTTGTTCGGGCTTCTCTTTAAAAAGCGTGAAGATTATGGTTACCATCCGTTGCCTTACATGCGTTAACACGTCATGGGACAACGACTACAAAATTTCATTAGACGAATGGTATTTTCTCCTCTTGTGAAAAATG